GGACATGAACTAAAGGGGAATGTGAGGGGAGGGGGTGTTCAGGTTGGAGGGGAATGAAGGGGGGAAGATGGGACAACTGTAATGGCATAATCAATAAAATATATTTAAAAAAGAGCACTGGTTTGAGCTTAGAAACAGGGAGAGTATTTTTATTTTTAAAATGAGGTATTGGAAAAGGAGTTGTAAGAGTGAATCAGAAAGAATAAGTCTACCAGGAATATTAACAAGAAAAATACTGTGACAGGGCAATTTCAAGAATGAGGAGATGACCACTTTAATTAAATGTTATAGTGTGGTGTGTTAGGATGAGGATTAAGAAGAGTCTATTGGTTTGGCAACTCTGTGGTAATTGACATTTTCAAAGAACATTGGCAGTAGCTTACTATGTGGGAAGAGTACTAATGGAGTGCAGAAATAGACCATTGGTTCCCCAATACCATGCTCTGGATGAGCAACAGCAAAATTGCCTAGATTTCCCGACCTCAGAAACATTGGACTTAGAAATGTGTATTTTAAAAATGTTTCCCAAGCCCTGGCTGGTGTAGCTCAGTGTATTGAGCGCAGGCCTGTGAACCAGAGGATCGAGGTTTGATTCCCAGTCAGGACACATGCCTGGGTTGCAGGCCAGTTCCCAGCAGGGGACGCAGGACAGGCAACCATACATTGATATTTCTTTCCCTCTGTCCTTTCCTTACTTTCTAAAGATAAATAAATAAAATCTTAAAAAAAAAGTTTCTCAAGTGATTCTGATAAACGCTCATGGCTTGCTATCAAGATGTATTTGTGAGTGATATTTTGAAGTAACCTTTTTTTCCAAACACAAAGCAATAATTGATAGAGTAACAAAAAGAGAAAACCAAATGCACATAAAGGGAGCTCATAAAAGATAAACATTTTTATGTTTCAGAAAGGGACTAGAATGCAAAGCAGTGAGTGGGGCTATGGCTGGGAGCTTGCAGGTAAAAGCAGCTGAGGTTTTGTCTAATTTGAGGTAAATGGAGATGTGCTGTTGCAGTTGGTCTCATTGTTGAAAACCATGGGCTAGGATCAGTAGACTTTTCTGTTGAAAAAGATATTCCCTGAATTTAGTGCTAGGGCTGTCATATCGTCCACCTTTAGAGGGCAGACCGTAGTTTTGCAGTGCATCTTCTGGAGTGTTGCAGGGCACAGCTTGCTTGACTGGAAGGAGCCGCTTTGCTGCCGACTGGTGCCATAGGCCACCGTTTATATGAAGCCATGTACCTAGGGGCTTAGGAGAACACAAATACAGCTTCACAACTAGAACCTGCCAGCCCAGAGCGTAGCCTTACTGTTACTTCAGGACAGATCTGATTTGAATGGAGTAAGGGTAAGAAAAATATTTATGACCTAACTGGGGAAATTGAACACTGACTAGGAATATTAAAATTGTTAATTTTTGAAGATACAATTAATGATATTGTAATTGTGTTTTTAAAAAGTAGTAAATAGTGGGTTCTCGGTAAATGTATGAAAGACAAAAATTCTTCTATGAAAATGTGCTCCTGTAAAGCTGAATTCTCAAACAAATTAAGCCATCTGATGCTGAGAAAGATACAAAATAAAATCAACAGTCAGGAGAATAGTTTAGTCTAGATGACATTAGCATATTAGCTTGGAAAATATCAAATTGTATAGTTAAGATTATCAAGGAGATGAGTGAATAAGTAATATGTCTTAAATTAAAACAATTATAGAATTTGAATAGGGAGAAAAAAGATCAGGTAACTGTGAAAAATGACAGAAACCTCAAAAGTGAAAAATAGTATAATTCAAAAAAATTACATCGTGTTCATGAATGGGAAGTCAGTAGGACGTCTGTTTTTTCCCAATATTAATCTAAAAAAATCAATGCAGTATCAAACTGCCAAATGGTTATTTCATGGTAATTGACATGTTGCTTTTAAAATTGTTATGGCAGAGTAAACAGTGAAAGTAACATTAAAGAAGAACAGATAGAGGCAACTTGCCCTCTAGATTTCAAAACTTATTATATGGCTATAATAATTAAGCTATATAGTGGACACATAGATGCTGTGAAACAGAATACAGAACCAGAATAGATTGCTATTTTTGTGGAATTTGCCTCATGACAAAGATGGCACATTAATATAAATCAGTGGTGAAATGTTAGATCCTTCATTGTGGTGCTGGTCTAGTTACTAATCTGAATGGATGTGAAAATAATTTTAAGTGCCCTGTCTCATACCATACATGAAAATAAATTGTCTGGATTAGAGACCTAAATGAGAAAAGTAAAATGTAGACTTTTTATAAGAAAATACAGGATAATAACTATGTTTTTAGGATAAGGAAGGATTTTTTAAAAGTATACAAGGCGATCGATCACATTAGGTAGGCTTTAGAGTCAGACTGAATGATTCAAATCTCAACTTTATCACATTCTATTTATGATGTTGAGCAAATTATGTCATCTTTCTGTGTTTTCTCATTTGTAAAATGATGATGTTGATCACAATGATAAAAACAAACCTGGAGGAATTGTGAGGATTAAATTAAACAATCCATATGAAACATTTAGAAAAAATGACTGGTACAATTAAGAAATGACTGTAATTGTTAATATTGTTTATTAAAAAAGAAACAAATCATACCTGTAAAGAAAAGATAGAGTTGACTATTAAAAATAAAATCCAATAGATAGGAGATATTTGTCACACATGCAACTGAAAAGTGTCTAATACTCAGGATGTATGGAAAACTCATTCAAACTAGTAAGGAACAGGCGACTCAAAAAAAGGAAAGATGGAAAACCAACAGAGCCCAAATGGCAAGTGATAAGATAAGTATTGTCCTTCTACACTAGTAATGAGGGAAATGTAAACTAAAGTAATGAGATAGCTTTTTACACTTAATATCTTGGCTGAAACTCAAGTCTGACAATACTTTTACTAGTAAGGGGGCAGAGAATCCTGAGTTCTTTCTATGCTGGCTGTGAAATAGTTGATACATTTTGGAGAATGTTTTTTTTAATATCTAGTAAGGTTGAAGATGCTTAAAGTCCATTAGTTCTGCTTTTAGGTATGAAGCCCAGAGAAGTTCTGTCAAAGGCACGTGAAGAGACATGTATGAGAATGGCAACATAGTTTTAATAGTGTAATATTGGAAATCTTCTAAGTATTCACTAGAAAGAGTGATAAATTGTGGCATAATCATATAATGGGATTTAAAAAACTTCATTTTTAGAGTAGTTTTAGGTTGACAGTGTAATTGAACAGAAGGCACAGTGATTTCCCATATATCCCATCGGCCTGTACACATGCATAGCCTTCCCCATTATCAACAGCCCCCTCCAGAGTGGAACTTTGCTACAGTTAATGAACCTATATATACAATGGCTTATTATTTGACAATTAATGTACTTTACATGTATCCACATTTATAAATAGAAAAGGTATTATTTAAAGTGAGATACAGATTATTCGGTATGACACCATTTTTTAAACCTCTAAATCTGAAACAGTACTGTCTATAATTTATGGAGATGTACATATATTTTCAAAACATAAAAATATGTATGTGAATAATACCAACCTCAGGATAGTGGTTGCTTCTGCAGAGCAAAGGAAGGAACTGTAACTGTATCTTTAATACTGTATTTATAAATGATATAGAGCAATTATAGCAATTTTCAAACTTGTGGAAATTGAGTGGTAGATTTGTGGCTGTTTTTAATATGTTCTATAATATTCTGCATTTGAAAAATCATCTAAGAAAAAGATAAAAAAGAAATTTCTAAGTTAGAGGATTTTACAAGTATGTAAGAGTATGAGAAGTAACTGAAGGTACTTTAAAAAATAACATAGCATCTTTATATGATGAATGGAATATGTCAAAAGAGAGGTTGGTAACACAGGAAAGTGGTTTGTGATGGCACTAGTTACTGATGGAGATATTAAGAAATGGATTTTGTGAGTTCTGGAAAGGATGTGGCACATATTCTCTCTGTAGACCGAAATGGAATAACAGATGAAATGAAAAGAGGAATGCATTTTGAGTTGGAGAGTCATTTAAAGGAAATCACTGTTTCCTTAGGTGTAAAAGTTGAATTCATTTTTCTAGAGGTATGATATATGAGAAAGTTGGAAGGATATGCAGAATACTTGTAAGGAATGAAATAGGGTTAGATAAAAAAAGTAGTATTAAAGGAAAAGGGAAGATTGAATAAAATTTGTAATGGTATCTAATTGTATACTTTTGTCAGTTTTGTTTGGCAAACCAGGGGCAAGAGGCTTTTGTCGCCCCCTTCACCTCTCTGCCTTTGGGAAGGTGGAGAGTCAAGAGTGTAGAAGTCCTTGAAAATACATCTCTTCTACAGCAAGCAGGTTTTTGTCATCTCTGGATTAATTAAAATAGTTTAGATTCTCTCTGATGTTATCTTACTCTTTTAATTTCTCTAAAGTTTTGCTCCATCAATGGCAGTTTTTGTGGTTTTTGCTTTATTTATAAGAGCTTTTCAGTGTAGGGTGATGAGATTAGTGTGATTATTCTGTCCATTTTAGTCTTCAGAGAGGCTCTTCAGATGTAAAGAAAAGAGCTTGATTCGAATCTCGGGTATCTTAGAAACATTTGTGATAGTAGAAGATAAAATAATTTTTATTCATACTCCTTGGATTTGGAATTATTAGTATAGTAAAATATTGAAATAATTTTTGACAGGTTACTGTTTTAGAAAGCGCCTGCCTTTGGGTAATAAAATAACGTGGTCTCAGTGAGACCATTTGAAGACCGTTCCTCCTGAGCACCCTTCTAGTTGCTAGGTGGGATGCTGCCCAATTAATGAATGACTTAATAAAGCCCAGTAGATCTTAAAAAAACAATACTGAGATTTTCCATACTGAGATTTAGGATTTTATGTTCTGCAAGATGTAATCAACACAGTTATTAAGACTTTCTTGAGCATCAGAAAGCAGTGATTGTGTAATATGACTTCTAAGTGTTTCACATATTTTATGTTACAGTTCTTTTACCACGAAAATGGTGTGGACAGTCTTGAACATGTACCATTCATGCTGATGGGACAAGATCCAATATGAATATAAATGATGGAGGAAGACGACGCTTTGAGGATAATGAACACACATTACGTATATATCCTGGGACAATCTCAGAAGGGACAATCTACTGTCCAATTCCTGCCAGAAAAAATTCCACAGCTGCTGAGGTGATTGACTCTCTTATAAACAGACTTCATCTTGACAAAACAAAATGCTATGTTCTAGCAGAGGTAAAGGAATTTGGTGGAGAAGAATGGATACTCAATCCAACAGACTGTCCAGTTCAACGAATGATGTTGTGGCCTCGAATGGCTCTGGAAAATCGCCTAAGTGGAGAGGACTACCGCTTTCTTCTGAGAGAAAAAAACCTTGATGGGTCAATCCATTATGGTAGTCTTCAGTCATGGCTACGGGTGACAGAAGAACGTCGCAGGATGATGGAACGGGGTTTTCTTCCACAGCCTCAACAGAAAGACTTTGACGATTTATGTAGCTTACCTGATCTGAATGAGAAAACTCTCTTAGAAAACCTACGAAATCGCTTTAAGCATGAAAAAATTTATACCTATGTTGGCAGTATTCTAATAGTGATTAACCCATTCAAGTTTCTTCCTATTTATAACCCCAAATATGTCAAAATGTATGATAACCACCAGTTGGGAAAACTTGAGCCTCACATTTATGCTGTGGCTGATGTAGCTTATCATACTATGCTTCAGCGAAGAAAGAATCAGTGCATTGTGATTTCAGGAGAGAGTGGTTCCGGCAAGACTCAAAGCACAAACTTTCTTATTCACCACCTTACTGCTCTCAGTCAGAAAGGATTTGCCAGTGGAGTGGAACAAATTATTCTTGGAGCTGGACCAGTACTTGAGGTATGTAGAAATACTTTTCTTCTAAACATGTCTTAAAAAAAATTTTTTTAAAGAGTGGTAAATGTGAGAAAATGAAATGAAACTAAATAGAAGTAACCAAGGAAAACTGGAAGATGGAACAGCAGAAAAAGGCAGTGTGGAAGATTGAAGAGTGTGATAGTGGCAATATTTTTTTCTAAGGGTCTCTTTAGGTCATAGCGATGTAAAATAAAGAGGCGATTGGAATCATATATTTATTTCCTCGAAAAGGGAGATAGCAGGGGAAAAAACTCCTGTTTGTAATAGGGTTGTGGAAGTTGGTGGCTGGGGAAAATATTCTTGTTAATATATCTGTGTGTTGGCGACCTTAACATCTGAGCCTAACATTAAAATTTTAAGGGTTCATTTTTGAAAATGTAGAGAATATGGGGAAATTTGTTGTAGTTCTGTAATTCTTTAGAAGTAATACTATCATGGATTGAAAGGAAAGAAAATACCCTATTTTTGTTTTAGGACTGAAAGGGAAAGGTAATATTAATTGGTTTTTAAAGAGAGATTTTGTGAGGTACAGTGAATTGAATATATTTAAAGTGTATAATTTGGTAACTTACGGCATAGTATTTATCCATTAAACCACTACCACAGTCAAGAAACTGACCGTATCTATTATCCTTCATGTTTTCTCTATCTTTTAATAATACCTCTTATAAAAATTACTCATCTACAAAAAACCACTAATGTAGTTTCTGTTACTATAGATTAGTTTGTATTTTCTACAATTTTATATAAATGGAATTATATAATTATATATACTACATATGCTCCTTTATGTTTGACTTCTCTCACTCAATGTAATTATTTTAAGATTCATCCATCTAGTGGGTGTGTCAATAATTTGTTCCCTTGATAAGGTAGTATTTCGTTGTGTGGGCACACCACACTTTGTTTATTTGTTCACCTGTCGATAGACATTTATGTTGTTTCCAGTTTTTGGCTTTTACACATAAAGCTGTGTATAACATCTTTGTATGGGCGTATAGCTGTCTTTCTCTTGGTTGAATACCTAAGAGTGGAATGACTGGGTCATATGATAGATATGAAATAATCAACAAATATAATTATTTGTTGATAGTTTCCTTTACTGTGCAGAAGCTTTTGATTTGGTGTAGTCTCACTCATTTATTTTTACTTTTGGTGTCAAATCCAATAAATCTTTGCCAAGACCCATGTCTTATCCCCATGTTTTGTTATAGAAGTTTTATGGTTTTAGGCCTTATATACATTCAGGTCTTTAATCCATTTTAAGTTGATTTTTGTGTATGATGTTACATAGTGCTTTAGTTCCAGTCTTTTTCAAGAGGCTGTTCAGTTTCCCCAGCACCTTTTTCCCCATTGTATATTCTTGGCTCTTCTGTTAAAATTAGTTGACTCTACATGAATGGATTTATTTCTGGGCTCTCTGTTTGTTTCACTGATCTATATGTCTGTATTTATGCCAGTACCATATTGTTCTGATTATTATAGCTTTATAATATAATTTGAAACTATGATGAGTGTGATGGTGGCAATATTTTTATCTAAGACATGTGAAGTCTTCATCTTTGTTCTTCTTTCTCAAGATTGTGTTTTTTATTCAGGGTCTTTTGTGACATACAAATTTTAGAAATTTTTGCCTGTTTCTGTGAAAAATGCCTCTGAATTTTGATGGGAATTGCAGTGAACCTGTATACTGTTTTGGGTAGTATGCACTTTTAACAATACTAATTCTTTAAGTCATGAGCATGGAATATATTTCCTTTTTATTTGTCTGCTTCAGTTTCTTTCATTAATGCCTTAGAGTTTTTTTTTTCTTTAAGATTTTTTATTTATTTATCTTTAGAGGGGAAGGGAAGGAGAGAGGGAGAGAAATATCAATGTATGGTTGCCTGTTGTGCGTCCCCTGCTGGGAACTGGCCTACAACCCAGGCATGTGCCCTGACTGGGAATCGAACCGTGATCCTTTGATTTGCAGGCCTGAGCTTAATACACTGAGCTATGCCAGCCAGGGTTAATGCCTTAGAGTTTTAATTGTACAGATCTTTCACCTCCTTGGTGAAATTTCTCCCAGATTTAATCCTCTTTTAATGGTACCTTTTGAAGAGCAGAATTTTAAATTTTGATGAGGTCCAATTTAGCCACTTTTTCTTTCTTTTTTAAAAAAAGTATATTGTATTCATTATGCTATTACAGTCTTCTCAATTCCCCCCCTTTATCTCCCTCTCCCCCTGCCCTGCACCCCTCAACCCTTAGCCTTCCCCCACCTTAGTTCATGTCCATGGGTTGTACATATAAGTTCTCTGACTTCTCTGTTTCCTATACCATTCTTAACCTCTCCCCATCTATTTTATGCCTACCAGTTATGCTTCTTATTCCCTGTACCTTTACCCCATTCTCCCCTACCCTTTCCCCACTTTGAAAACCCTCCATGTGATCTCCATTTCTCTGATTCTGTTCCTGTTCTAGTTGTTTGCTTAGTTTTTCTTTTTTAGATTTAGTTGTTGATAGTTGTGAGTTGATGGCGTGTTCCCCAATCACTAGTTTCATTTTATATTTTAGAATAATTTTTGAAATTAAATAGTTTTTTTTGTATGTGCTGCCTAAGTGAGCACATGCCTGTTTTTTTTCTTTTGAAGAGTTGTTTGACTAAAATAGCTTCCTTGCATTTTCATATGAATTTTAGAAATAAATCATCAATTTCCCCATAAAAGCCTTTTGGGATTTTCATTGGGACAACATTGAATCTTTAGTTCGGTTTGGGGAGATTGCACATGGTAATATTAAGTCATCTGACCCATGGAGAAATTTATTTCCCCATTTACTAAGATCTTTTATAATTTCTCTCATCAGTTTTGTTGTCTTTTACGTCTTTGGTAATCTGTATCTTAATTTTCCATGAATTAAAAAAATTGCAATTGTTATTACCTGGCATATAGAAAAGTTGATACTGGTATATTGATATTCTACAACTTGATGAGATACAAATATTAGTTCTTTTTAAAAAAATATATTTTATTATGCCATTTCAGTTGTTCTATTTCCACCCTTCATTACCCTCCACCCTGCACACCCCCTCCCGCACCATTCCCCCCTTTAGTTTATGACCACGTGTCTCAAGTTCTTTAGATTGTATGTTTCCCATACTATTCTTGCCCTCCCCCTATCTATTTTCTACCTACCATCTATGCTACTTATTTTCTGTACCTTCTCCCCCTTCTCCTCCCACTCCCCTGTTGCTAACCCTCCATGTGATCTTCATTTCTATGGTTCTGCTCCTGATCTAGCTGTCCTCTTAGTTTGCTTTTGTTTTAGGCGTGGTTCTTAATAACTGTGAGTTTGCTGTCCTTTCACTGTTCATCTTTTTTATCTTCTTTTTCTTAGATAAGTCCCTTCAACATTTCATATAATAAGGGCTTGGTGATGATGATCTTATCTGAGAAGCACTTTATCTGTCCTTCCATTCTAAATGAAAGCTTTGCTGGATAGAGCAATCTTGGATGTAGGTCTTTAGATTTCATGACTTGGAATACTTCTTTCTAGCCCCTTCTTGCCTGTATGGTAGCTGTTGGTTTTTTGTAGATACTCATTATTAGATTGAGGTCATTCCCTTTAATTTCTACTTTGATGTTTGATTTTTGATTTTTTTTTTTTTTTTTGTCAAATGCTTTTTCTGTGTCTGTTGAGGTGGTCATATGGTTTTAATTTTTTAAAATTTAATCTTTTTTTTTTTTGGCTGATAAGTAGCTTTTTTTTTTTAATTTATTTTTTTAAATTGATTTTGCTGTTACAGTTGTTCTATTCCCCCCTTCATTCCCCTCCACCCTGCCCCCCCATCCCCACCATTACCCCCCTTTAGTTTATGTCCATGTGTCTCAAGTCCTTTAGGTTCTATATTTCCCATGCTATTCTTGCCCCCCCCCCATCTATTTTCTATCTACTGTCTATGCTAGTTATTTTCTGTACCTTCTCCCCCCATCTCCTCCTCCCACTCCCCTGTTGCTAACCCTCCTTGAGATCTTCATTTCTATATTTCCACTCCTGATCTAGCTGTTCTTTTAGTTTGCTTTCGTTTTAGGTGTGGTTGTTAATAACTGTGAGCTTGTTGTTCTTTCACTGTTCATGTTTCTTTAACTTCTTTTTCTTAGATAAGTCCCTTTAACATTTCATATAATAAGGGCTTGGTGATGATGAACTCCTTGAATTTGATCTTATCTGAGAAGCACCTTATCTGTCCTTCCATTCTAAATGAAAGTTTTGCTGGATAGAGCAATGTTGGTTGTAGGTCTTTAGATTTCATGACTTGGAATATTTCTTTCCAGCCCCTTCTTGCCTGTAAGGTCTCTTTTGAGAAATCTGCTGACAGTCTGATGGGGACTCCTTTGTAGGTGATTGTCCCCTTAGCTCTTGCTGCTTCGAGGATTCTCTCCTTCATTTTAATTTTGGCTAATGTAATTATGATATGCCTTGGTGTGTTTCTTCTTGAGTCCAACTTTTTTGGTACTCTCTGGGCTTCTTGGATTTCTTGGAAGTCTATTTCCTTTGCCAGATTGGGGAAATTTTCTTTTATTATTTGTTCAAATAGTTTTTCCACTGGTGGTTGTGTCTTTCCCCCTTCTGGTACCCCTATAATTCGGATATTGGAGCGTTTAAAGATGTCCTGGAGGTTCCTTAGACTCTCCTCATTTCTTTGAATTCTTGCTCCTTGACTCTTTTCTGTTTGGCCATTATTTGGTTTCTTCTGGTCCACTCCATTGATTTGAGTCCCAGTTTCCTTTTCATCTCTACGGGTTTCCTGTGCAATTCCATTCATTTCCCTTAGTTTAGCCTTCATATGTTTCTCTAATTTGTGGCTATAATCCACCAGATCTGTGAGGATCCTGATGACCAGTGTTTTAAACTGTGCGTCTGAGAGTTTTGCTATTTCTTCGTCGCTTAGATTTATCTCTGGGGCTTTGAGGTCTTCCTGCGACATTTTTGGTCTGTTC